CCCCAAAACCCCAAAACCCCAAAACCCCAAAACCCCAAAACCCCAAAACCCCAAAACCCCAAGAAATTTAATAAGCAATGGATTAGGATTAGTTATAATTAATAATTAAAAAATAGTCCTAAGTATTCCTGATTCCCTTCCACTTTCGAGGAGGTATGAACTTGAATTCCTCCATGATCTTCATGAGGAACATAGAAGGGCCGTCTTCTTTGCGTTTTATTATCTTATTTAGACCTTTCTTCGCCTTCTCCCAATCTCCTTCTGTATAATACGCATACATTTTCTTGTAGTAAGAAATAAGTTTTTTAGGAACATTTTGCATAATTCCTACCAGCTCTTCATCCTCACGAATCCGGACTATCATTTTGAAGTTAGGATCCTTAGTCTGAACAAGGTTCTCTAATCTTCTGTTTATCTTCTTTTGGTAATTCTGCTTTCCATTTGTCACTTCCTTATCAGGAGTTATGAGACCTATCTCTCAATCAACAGTGTAGACTTTTTGAATCTTATTTTGAACCTTTATCTCTGTATCAGTCTACTTGCCTAAAGTACTTTCTTGCTTTTGAAGAACAAATCTCGTAGAATTCTTGAGAAATTGCTAGAGGAACGCCATACATTTTGGTGTTCTCCTCTAGAGTAGAGGCAAAGTTTACATGATGAGATAGATAGGTAGCATCTATCTTGAAAGATGACCCTATCGCTCCTTCGATTCACCAACCTGTGTGTAATCCAAACCCTAGTTTTACAGTATACTCAGGGATTTTCTGAACAAGTTTAGGGTTCGATGCATAGCTCGAAACTCTCTTATCTTTCTTCATTCTCATTAATATTTTTAGAACCGAAAGTAAGGATGATTCAGCATAATTATTTACCAAATATGAGTCTTTGCTGAAAGATAGTTCCCCATTCAGCCCTGTAAATAATTCATTTTCAGGGAATTTCCAGACTAACAGGAATGCATCGCCAATGTTTTTATTCGGATCACCAAGGAACTCATGAGCTTCTCCATGAATTACTTGAGCGATTTCGTTAACAAAGACCATGACATCTTCCTGAAGGATCTCTGTTGTATCAGTAAATTGCCGAATATCTCAAAATCCAAATATACCAATAGTTTTATTTACCTGCAGCTTGAGTATCAATATCACCTTGCTTCCCAATCATGTCACTCAAGAGGGAAGTACCAGCTTCTCCGAATCCAAGAAGGAGAAGTGCTCCGATTTTAGTAATTGCGCTATCAAGAATCATAGTTTCATATACAACTTTGTTACGCTTGCCTTCTTCCTTCTCGACTTGGGCCTCAATTTCTGAAAATCTTAAGATTTGAAATGGATCATCAGCCATTTCAGCCACTTTAAGCATAATTGTTTCAAGAGGTTGCAATACAAGCGCCGTAGCATCTTTAGAAATTAGCAATGCGCTGACCATAATAATGAACAAGATAAAAGTTGTCTTTCAAAGTGACAAATAAGCTTCAAACTGGAGATCGTTTTTCACTAGCACATACATCTCAATTCCATTTCCTGATACTATTTCGTATTCCTGCTCGCGGTAACTTAAAATAGAGTCAAAGATAATTGTGCTCTTTGTATCGGTCTGCAAAAATCTGTCAGATTCTTGCTCGAGGTATTTTCTTTCTCCAATATAATAACTTGTCATATTTTCTCCAACAAGCATGCGATCGCTTTCATACTTAATTTCCAGTATTCTGTAAGGAGTGCTATTCCTATGGTACTTTTCAATAAAATCAATCATGTAAGTAATTCCTGTCACTCCTTTCAAAGAATTTATGGTGTCTAGAGAGTACTCATAGGATTTAACTGAGCTCACATAGGAAGAAATCTGAAAGATATATTCTGACATTACTACTAATAATACCAAGAATACCACTCTCTTAGTAGTTTGTTCTGAAAATTTCTTCGAAACTTTAGATTCCTGAATCACATCCTTCTTATCACCTCCCTCTTTTAAGTTTTTATCTGTATTTTTACTTGTGTGGCTCTGAGCACTGCTGACAATAGAGAGCCTCTTGTTCTTCATTGCGGAATCAGGACTACCAGCTCGGTTCATGTCTTCTTCCAAGTAATTTGTCTTGTAGTTCAAATTCTTGTTATCCTTTGTACTGGCGCTAGTCTTTCTTTTATCATTGTTATTTTTCATCCTCATTATTTGAGTCTCGGACAGGTCTTCGGACAAGAGAGCTCTCAGGCTGACTCAAGTTTTCCATATTTTTACTTGAATGATCCTCACTTGTGTGCACTGATTTATTAATGTCAAATTCGCTAGATGATTTCTCTTCTTGACTAGAGTCGCTGCTCTCACTTGTCTCTGATACTTTCGATTCTGAGTCACTTTTGAAGCTATTTTTATCCCCTGGTTGAACATTATTCGAGCAACCAAATAATTGATTTTGAAATCTTGGCGTGAAATTTGGGACGAGGGAATTCTTGCCCCCTGCAGCTTGATTATTTTCTAAGAAAGTTCCTCCTCTCATCATTTGTATAATCGGATTATGCTCCTCAGGCTGAACTCCAGGATTTACCATATAAGACTTAGCCCTGGCTCTTTGTGGTTCAGCCTTTCTAGGCATTTTCAAACTTTTGTTCAACAACCGCTTTTTGCTTGAACTCTTCTTATTAGAGTCTTTATCTCGAGACCCATACCCATTTTCTCCTTCTTCACTAATTTTATCAAGTTCTTGATCTGATTCACTTGAACTAGTGAATGTATCAACAGATTCAGATTCTGAAGCTTCATCAATGGTTTGGTGCACATAAGAAGCTCTCTTTTGTCTCATTCTTGACAGGAAATCCTGTCTTTTGTCGGAGAAAAGTACTTGAGTTCTCATTCTCATTGGCATCTTATTTCATTTCAGTAATATGAGGATCTTCGGATTCTGAAGAGGATTCAAAATTTTCGTCTTTTATAATCTGCCTAACACCTTGAATTTTCTTTAAGAAACTAATTTTTCGAGACTCTGAGTTGATCATAATATTTCCTCTTTTATTTCATTCTTATTTTTTTCTTGATTGGAGAAACTACATCGGCACTTGGGTGGACTTTCCCATCTGTCTTATTTTTATTCAAAACTTTCCGGTTTTCATCAAGGGCACGTTTTGTCTCTTTATAGAGCTTAGCAACTCTGAAAACACGAATCATTCGGACTATTTTGAGTAATCTACCGACTCGAGTCCCAGCTCTGCCTGCTCTTCCAGCTCGAGCAACATCTGTTGCGTCTGTTGGTAACTGGAAGGTCACCTCAAGAGCTTCCAGTAAATAGTAAATATCAAACAGAAGACTTAAAAGAGCTGCAAGATCTAGCCAAAAGAAAAATGAGAATAAGTAATCGCTTTTAGTGAGACTAGTGAACACTAATTCAAATAAGAAAGATATGAATCATACAAGCATGATAGTGTCAATAAAAGGGTCTGCACTCTTTTCAGTGAAACCTTGGCGAATGTCATCCATATATAAGGCAATCAGTGTCAGAATGATGAAGAAAATGTTCGAATACTTATTTTCAATACTTTTTGCCATTCAAGCCTTTGCTTTATCATTTCATGTATCAACATCTTTATCCTCTTCATCAGGATTCTGGCTAATCTTAGAAAAAGTCATCCTTGGATTTGCCTTCAGAATAGGCTCCAATGGAGGATTGCCTAACTCTCTCTTAATAGTGATGGAGAAATTATTAAACGAGTGTCTCTCAATTTCCTTAAATTCACCTGCTTGCTAAACACCAAAAGTTAAAATTACATAAACTCCCTCTTGAAGGTTGTGCTAGGAGTCATAATGACAAATAACCGTACCTTATAAAGCGAGGGGTTGATCTTCTGTATCTCCGTATTATTCTCCACGGCATATACCCCAGATCTTGAATTAGAAACATAATGTGATTGGGAACTTTTCTTCTTAGAATCATTTTCTTTCTGAAGGAACCCATTCATCGACTCGCTTAAATCCAAATCTGGTACAATTTTGTTAAGCTTTCTTCTATTCCTAACAGCTAGGCTATTTCTTGTCTTCTTTTGTAAGAAAGCCATGTGATTCCAAACTTATTATTATAAATTCAATTTTACTTCAGAACAAGGGGTTTTGGGGTTTTGGGGTTTTGGGGTTTTGGGG